TCTAATATGTACATAGAAGACAAAATGTAGATATTCTAGATGTAACAGCTCTCACCAAGCACAATTGTGCGTTACCATCTGGTGCCTACTGTAGGTGCGCACTTGTGGACTTCACTGTGACTCAACTTGTTCTGCAGGTGTAAACCTTCTGGAGGTTATAATTTAGTGAGTACATGCAGTATTAATCTACTACACCCAAATACATTCTCTTTTGATAGCACCAGAACACTCGTTGTACTGTGAGCAAGCCCAGGCTTTGAGCCCAAGCCAGACCCACACATCACTAGCAGCAACCTCAACAACAATGTCTGTCTGAGGCACTGCTAGCAATATAGCATAGCACCGAGAGAGGACTCACAAATGACTCAGCAGCTTACACACCTATAAGTGGCTTAGAGTGAGCAACACAAAATTTATTAGAAAGGATTAGTCTGAACCAGTCTGGACCAGTCACAGACAGAATCCAGTTCTAGACTGGTCAAAACCAGTCTTGGGCCATTAATAGGACTGTACAGGACTAGGACTTGGACTTAGACTGGTTCTGCAGAAATAAGTGCCGGTCCTTGACTAATTTCAGTCCCAGTCCTATACAATTTTCTGAAAAGACCGGACTGAACTGAACCCTCAATCACTATACCTGATAGATCTAGTGAAGCCATGAGTGGTATCCTCTCATAAATGCTGAAGAAGCTGACCAGTTGATCGGCATCTGCAGCTGTCCACCCAGCTATCTTAAAATACTGTGCAACATTGTCGTAATTTCTCCAAGGAAGCACAGCACAAATAAGACCCTGAAAAGACTCTTGGTCAACATCTACAATTTGACATATATGACTGTGCTCTATTCTGCGAATGAGCACAATTTCTCTGTAGAATGCCTGCAAGGTACATGGTCAGCAATAGAGTGTATCAATCACAGAAGATCAGAAGCACCTTTGTTTTCTCACATCTTCCTCATGGCACCCAAAAATTTGTAGTGATTTCAAGGCTACAGTCTGCCTGTTGTACTGTTAGATTTTCATGTTTCAAGTGTGCACACATTGGTGCTGCACGTATGGTATTTTGCATCCACTTTCACATGCTTTAGAGTATAAAGTAACTACACTTGCATGTAACTATTCTTCATGCATTTGAACCACCACCATCACTGTTGCCCCTCAGGAGTGTGCAATACACACTCTTTTGTTATTGTACGCTTCTGTGCTCCCAGTTCCCCAAGTTATTCCAACATGTACTTGCCCTGATAGATATTACTATATGACTCTCCAGCTATGAATGTGTGACTGTCCAAGTGCACACTTGACAGCTGCCACCTCTGTGGCAGTTAAAGAGATGATTTGCACAGGTGAACTAATATACACTTTAGCGAGTGTTTTGGTTCCACTCCATAATCTGATAGTCTTGTGCAGAATGGAAAATTGTCCAGGCCAGTTCACATGGTAGAATGTAAAATATGACCCAGCACAATTTTCAGGTGGCCATGTAGGAGCCTGGCAAGGGCAATGCACCAGATTGAGAAGGTTTAGTAAAGCCAATGCAGGTTGATTGCAAATGCATGTAATGATACTCTTATCAGCTTTTGATATGGACACGAAGATGCTCAGGATGTACTGTTCATCCTGAGTTAGCACAATTATGAGCTCTGAATCAACTTGAAGATCGCCTAGTATAGATGCAAGCTAAGAAATTTAGTCAGCATGCCATTACAATGGAAATTCAAATGGTGTACACGTAGTACTGAATTGCAATGTTGCGCCACATGAACAAGATAATTAACAACAAAAGATGAAAATGGATTGACATCATCATTGAGGAAAGCTTCTATGGCATAGTAACTATGGCGATATGAGCAGAATAATGCAAAAATATGAAAAAATGCCTGACATACCTGCTGCTAGCAATATTTTCCTGCAGCATACTGAGGGCATACATTGTCCCCACGATCATGCCAGCAATATGCTTTCATAAGATGCCTGTGAATAATCTGGACAGCATACAGCAAATATTTAATATACCTCATATACACCATACTTTACAGTGCGAGGGCAGGATGTAATAGAATTTTCAATTGTCTTAAAAATGCACAATTCAGCAGCTCACTCAGTTGAACCAGAAAAAAATGTGCACGTTAGTATAAGAAATGCATGCATTGAAAGTATGTTTGACATGTATATGCAATTGCACTACATTCTTTTGCAGAAAGACAGTTTTGCACTTAGTGTATGTCCAAGATGTGAAGGTGTTTGAAGATTCTGTTATCTGAGTAATGACTTGTCAGTGATGTCACCATACTGCCAGAATAACTCTCTCACAAATTCTGATCTCTCATCGCTCATAGTGAAGCCTGTAGAGCTATTGTGCAACAGCTGTGGTGGAGTTCAGAGATAAAGCTCACCAGCATGATCTGACAACAAGACACCTAAGCAATTTGCAGTATAGGCACCAGAAAATTATGAGATAAGCTATCTGACCACTAAGCTTTATGATAGAGTTCACAATCAATATTGTAAATTCTCTTACAAAAGAAAGTCAAGTAACTATTTGTGATATATTTGTGAGCTACGGTAATTGAAGAGCTCGGGTGTCAAGTGGATTTATTTGTTGCGTTCAATTAATGATACCTTCCAGAACAAGATGATCATGTGCCCACATTTATACCTTCTCTTCATTATATCTGGGAAGGATATTCTCACTTGTCAGCCTACTGAGCACACTTGTGGGCACCAGTCCAGTGCACCAAACCACTCTTCACTGTTCTTGGTTGCCAGTTGTACCTAACTTGGTGAGAACTGCTTGCTGATGAATGCAAGCAACAGCTGTGGACTTGAAAATAGCTGTGGTAGATACACTCATTGATTACAATTTAATGTATAAGTAAATCAACCAGATATGGGGACAAAAGGGGAATGGTATCACACGAGAGAAGGAAATTAGATATAGCATAAGCCAGGAGCTAGCAACGTCATTGGTTCACAGCTGGCTTTGCAAAGGAGCTGCACCTGGCTGACAGGTGCAGCAGCATCCAGATTGAATAGCCTGACAAATAAACCTTTGCGTATGAAGCCCACATCACTAATCTGCAGCTCTCCTGACCCATGCAGCTCTAGGTACCAGAGGGCATGGCTGAGATGGAGTGTCTGAAGGCTAGATGAGTAGATTTTGTCTGGTGCAGATAGTAGACAATAAAGGCAAAACATATTCACTGTGTATTGCAGTAGTGGTGGCAGTGCAGGACGAGCCTGGTGGAATCAATGGTGGGGAGATTACCAGCGCCATTGGCCTGATGAAGTTTTCACACGAAGAAGACCGGCATCCAAACCTCACCTCTCAAGTCAATGAGAAGGCAGAGCACTGATAATATTATTTCATTTATTTCTATGCACCAGTAAATGGATGTTCTGCCATTGCCAGTGCACAATGACTGTCAAAATAAAGAGTGACAAACAAATGAATTCCAATGTCCAAGTGTCGTATTCAGTGATTGTATCCTTGCAAAGACTCCAGTTGGGCATGAGCATAACCTCAAAAGAAACAGCCAGGCCCACAACAAACTAATCCAAGACACTAAACCAGCGGCCGGCCCCTCGATCGCACGTAATACATGAAACAATATTGAGGACGTCAAGCTCTTAAAGCTTAGGCTATGCCGGGTCACTCCTGGAAGACATCGGTCAGCCTCGAAAAGCAATAATTCAGGTGAAAACTGCAGGTTTACGTTGCCTTGTCACGCCCCAGTCGCACAGCACGGCCAGCGAAGTCATTGGACGAAGTGTCCTTTGGGCGTTCAAAGATTGGTGCTCGTGCTCAATCAACCCTAACCAGGGGGCATCCACGATTCAGATCTACAGTAACAGCCTGGCATAGCGCTCATGTGAGCCCTTGTAAACCGCCCTGAGAAAGCTACCGGCTGAGCCAAAGTTGCGAAGGTGCAATATTGGACGAGAAAGCCCGACTAGATCTGACTACAAGTGCGAGCTGAATAGGGAAAGATGGTAAGAACTGTGTACAGCGAAGTGTTCGGTTACTTGCGTATTATTCTACATCATGGGCTCACTGCAGCACCAGGGCAGTGCATATCCTATACAAATAGTAGCATGCCCAGAAAGTATTAAGCTCAGAGATATACCAAAGTCTTATAGGCCAACTATCCAGCCTTCACTCACACTGCGTGCGCAATCCTCTGAAAGCCTTCAAATGTTGTCACGCTATCACTGGCAGGTTAAGCAGTGACGACAATACACAAGTATTGACCATTGCCTGAAAATGCAGCTTACGCAGTTCACAAAAGCCAGGAAGGAAGATGGCAAATTTTCAAGCAGGTGCCGACAGAGCATCCAAACGTCAGTTTAATGGAAAGTGCAATGAAGAGCTTCAGCTGGTTGCTCCTACTCGCAAAAGTGGGCACTAACCGTGCTTCTTTGATTGAATTACTGTATATGGTAGTGTACCTGAGGACCCCGGGGCTGAGACCACCTAGAGGTAGCTAAGCGGATTGTTTCAATAAGATCTGAATCGTGGATGCCCCCTGACCCTAACCCAAAACGAGCGGGCGCGTCCCTTACCGTCGCAGAGCCCATGGAAATTATCGATGTGCGTGCCGGTGCGATGCTCTATCGATAAGAGATGCTGTAAATAGCTTGTTAGCACTGATAAATATCTGAAAAGAAATAACGTTGACCACATATGCCATGCGCAGCTCAATGAATCATAGCCTGCGCGGCGGGAATGCCTTCTGTATGGACGCCGATCCTCGTCATTTCCGCTTGCTGCAGCGTCAAGATGGGCCACATAACTACGCCAAAGGCAGCTGGCTGCAGAATGAGTTCCCTTGTTAGCATGGTATATCTCGTGAAGGAAATCGGCATCCCAGGTTTGAAAGCAAGTCAGAGGTACCACCGTAAATCATCGCCCGCAGCTTGCAGCCTGCTCGGGGATCTACCCTGACAGACATGCAGATCATGCAGATCTATCACAGTAGGTCTTCCGAGGGCTCCCGGCTGCGGGGAACAGTGTTGAAGACTCCACACTTTGACTTGAAGGGGTAGTCGCTTGTTGCTCGCGGAACCCCCAAAGGCCGGCGAAAGCTGCGAGTAAAACGCCCAGCTGCGCAGCTCCAAAGAGCTGGCGATTACTCACACTTCGTCAAGAGATATGCGCTCAGATACGGACTTGCTCCACCTGACCGACGCAGGACGTCTATTGCTACGGATTCACAATAAGCGGTGCTTCCAAACGTCACTGTAGCAGCACTCACGAGCTTTAGCGGATATCGGCGTGGTATGATATTGTGTTATAGTGAAGAACAAAGATTGCGTCCAGGCTAAGAGGGAGGTATCAAGAGCTGAATCCGATCCTCCAGACGATTTATACCTGCGCTTTCTTCCTCGCCTCTGCTAGCTCCGCCCTCTCCCGCACAGTCTGCGCCATGATTTGCGCAACCGGCGTCCCCAGCTGCTCAAAACCCTTCACGACGCCCTCGCGATCTCCCTCTGGAAGCTCCTGGCCCATCTTCCACCTGCCTGCTATATCCGTGATTTCGATCTCGATACCGATAATCGCCTTCTTCAGCAGCTCGATGTAGTTTGATGGTGCGTCCGAGACCTTCCATGGTGAATTGTATCCCATGAGCGTGCCTTCTGCGAACTGCGACAGGTCCGACACCTGCTTCGTGAGGTACGCGTCGGTCGCAGGGTCGGTCGTGTCGAAGTATACCGTCGCGCGGCCGTACACCTGCACTGCGGCGTAGTCCCAGGTAGGAACGACCTTGCCCGTCGAGGGCTTGGTCTCTGTGTAAAACTTTGGTGTGACGTAGTGGTGGGCGGGCCCGTTGAAGAGAACGAGGACGTCCTTCTGGAGCCGTGGTGCACTTGCCTGCGATGGGCCGTTGGTGAGTTCTTCGATGATGACCTTTGCCTGTGGATTCGCGCGAGCGATGTGCCCCCTGAGCACACCGAGCCCTTGCGCGCCGCCGTCGTCGAGCAGCCACGGGATGTGGCTGGATTGGAGGAAGTGATGCGACGAAGAGTCGATAGCGGTTGTGAGGATGCCGAGTGGGTTCGAGCGAACGAAGGCGTGGAGAGTCGGAAGGTGGTGCTCGGCGTGCACAGGGCGGATGTACATGGCGACCGCTGAGCAGATGGTGGTGGCACGCTGGAAAGCAGGTTGTGACTCATGAGTCATGTGTGAGTCGGGACCGGGAGGCACGTGACAATATGGTATCAAACGCCACGATGCGCTTACATAAACGGTCCCGCCGTTTCCAGCTGCGACGTCGAGCACAAGCAATCATGCTCACAATTACGCTCAGACAACTTTAATTCGATTCGCGGTCGCCACAAGCTGCTGTCAAAATTTTCTGCAAATCCTGTTCTCCATCAACGATAGGCCCGCTTGCGTCATCAGAATTTTGTGTTCGGCCCCTGAGAACCCCGACAATCAAAGCGCAGCGTCAAGGGCCATACTGAATGCGTGTGATCTCGGCAGTGAAGGTCGTATAAAAGGTGCGCCCTCGACTCCGTTCACGTTTTGTTCTGCTTCTCACTTGCAATCCTGCGCGACAAGGATGCCTCTCTTCGGTCCCGCCATCCCGTGGGCTGCGTTAGGAGGCGTGCTTCTGCTACTGTGGAAGCTGACACGAAACTATGTTTTGCCATCGCCCCTGGACGATATACCCGGTCCGACTTCATCGTCGACGCTCAAAGGTGCATGGCGGGGTTCCCAGTCCGGGGTTTTTGAGCGCTAACGTCGTATGTTGACGATAGGCAGCATGGCCCGTTTTCAGAGCCGCGGCTCCTGGCCGTTCCTCGACCATCTCACAAATGACTACGGACAGGTCGTGAAGTGTACTGCATTCCTAGGGGTAGGCAATTCTCTTGGTTGTGCAGTGAAGAGTGTCAATAATGTTCATTCCTGTCCCTAAGAGACGCGTACTCTGGGTCTTTGATCCGAAGGCTTTGCATCACGTTGTTGTCAAAGATCAAGATATCTACCAGGAGTCTCCAACGAGCATCGCGTTCGTTGTTGCTCATTTGCAGTGTTTCTTTGGTATTAATACTTCTGGCTCATAGCGGACGCAAGCTGAGCACTGGCCCTGGTCTTCTATCGACGCTTGGTATGTGGGAAGACCACCCAATAGCTGCATAGAGCTGATATCATCTTTCTTAGGCGACCACCATCGCCGGCAACGCAAGATGCTGAATCCCGTATTCTCCATCGCACACATGCGCAGATTGACGCCCGTATTCTACGAAGTTGCGAATCGCGTACGTGGTTCACATCCATGGCATGGATTAAATGCGTGGCCTTATTTCTTCAGCTTCGCACAGGCATCCAGACAGAGCTCAACACCTCTCCGGCCGGAGAGGTGGACGTTCTTAACTGGATGGGCCGCACGGCACTGGAGCTCATTGGCCAAGGCGGCTTCGGCCATTCGTTCGATCCGCTGGTCGAGAACGTCGAGAACGATTACGCGAACGCCATCAAAAGTTTTGTGTGCGTCCGTTTTTCGCAATATATTTCCTCTGAATTCTCTCTGAACATACTCAATCGTCTCGACAGCCCGACTTCGTCTCGTCTCGCCCCCTTCCGCGTACTTATACTCTTCTTCGAACCTCTCATCGACCTCTGCCAACGTCGTCCTGCCGTTGGGGCATTCGTCAAGAAGTACTGGAGCCTCATTCCACATACCGGCATGCAGCACATGAAAGACATCCTGGATGTCCTGGACGACACATCCCGGCAGATCTTCACAGAGAGGAAGATTGCACTCGAAAGCAACGACCAAGAGCTGAAGATGCGTATTTTGGAGGGCCGAGACTTGATGAGCGTCATGCGTACGTACTAGTACGAAAGCTGAACTCCGGCGCTGACCTGGCGGATCGTTAACAGTACGGGAGAACATGAATGCAAACGTCGCGGACAGGCTTCCTGACAACGAGATCATCGCGCAGATCACGTACGTCTCCTGTATGGCAACTTTGTCCGGACTGCAAAACGCTAACTCAGATGTGTGTTTGGGGCGTAGGACATTCACGTTCGCTGGTACGGATACCACCTCGAACGCGATTGCGCGGATTCTGCACCTGCTATGCCTTCACCCCGACGTACAGGAACGGCTACGCGCAGAGCTGATCGAGGCTCGCTCCCAGAACGGTGGCCAGGATCTCGAGTACGACGAGCTCGTGAGTCTGCCATACCTCGATGCTGTCTGCAGGGAGACGCTGCGCCTGTAAGCTGCCTCTTTGATGACGAATTATAATCAGTACTGACGTGAGCAGCTATCCCCCGGTTGCATTCACCTCCCGCGAGTACGTGCGCTCGGCCCGTATCGCATAACCCTCTGACTGACCGCGATTCAGGAACGTACGGGACATCGTTATGCCGCTCAGCACGCCACTCACCCTGCGCGACGGGACTTCAACAACCTCCATCCACGTCCCGAAGGGCACCACCATCCTCATTGGCATCTACTCGTCGAACCGCAACAAGGAGGTCTGGGGCGACGATGCATGCGAGTGGAAGCCTGAACGCTGGCTCGACGGCAAGCTACCGGAGTCGGTGGCAGACGCGAAGATTCCTGGGGTGTACTCTAACCTGTCAGTCTGGTTCACTTCATCGAATAAGACCCATGTACTGACCGAACTGTAGGATGACGTTTATCGGCGGCGGCCGGGCATGCATGTGCGTTTCAACTCTCCCCTGCGCGAGATTTTTTTGAGCTCACTGTCCCGTCTCCAGCGGCTTCAAGTTCTCGCAGCTCGAAATGAGTACGTGTGCCCACACTCGTCCGTGCCCACCCGCTGACATCCCCCATCGCAGAAGTCGTGCTGACAATGTTGGTCTCGTCCTTCCGGCTGTCGCTCTGCGCGGGCAAGAACGGCGATGTGTTCTGGAACCGCGCAGGTATCGCGTACCCGACCGTGGGCCCGGACGGCAGGAAACCCAGTTTGCCCCTGAACGTTGAGCCGCTGCAGGCGTAGCAGGCCGCTGGAGTTCGTGCGTGTCCTCAAGGCCAAGGTTTACATTTTTGCTCTGTAAATACTGAGGCTCGGTGCGTACAGATCATTATTGTAAATATCATGTTACTACCTCTCGCTTTGCGGAAATAAGTACAGACTGAAAGAAGCTTCTTCTGAGACGAGCCCGCTCAACACTTCGCGGCGGCCGATATGCCCGTCTCCTGCACCGCGGGCGCACTGAGCGCGCCCTTATGCTCTTTATCACTTGAGCTGTGAATTTCCGCCGCTCTTGCAGCCCCCTGCAGATTGACGAGCCACCTTAAAATTTGCAATATGTTAGTTTAACATATGAAAATTTTCTGTGAGAAGCTGCAAGGCGATAAGACGATATTAAAGTCAGGGGGAAGGACGCAAACTGAGGTGGTCGGCTACCACTAATTAGGGAACCGTGACTGATGTGACGGAATGTGACAAGTGACAAAAAGTGGCTGTAATTTCTTCCGATCCGGAACTGCCATCCGGTCGCTCAGCTTCGCAGTGTAGACCATCACCAACGTCACGATTGTTCTGGTAAAAGAATATCTTGTGGCATCTTTGCGAGCTAATTGAAGAGCTGGATGAGCGGGCCTGTTTGGCACATATAACGAACGATGCCTCCCACTGCAGAACAGGTTGCTCGTGCGGCTGCGTTCGTACGTTCTCTTGATCGTGTTCTCTCACTCATCAGCCTACCGCACACACTTGTGACTCATCAGAATTTTGCTCTCGGCCCCTGCTTCCCCGACAGTGCCGTGGCGCGATCCGACAATCAATGCGCAGCGTCGGAGACAATATTGAATGCGTGTGAGCGCAGCAATGATGGCCGCATATAAGGTGCACCCTCTGCTCCGGTAACACATTGTTCTGTTTCTCGCTCGCAATTCTGCGCGACAAAGATGTCCCTCCTCGGTCCCGCCGTCTCATGGGCTGCGTTAGGAGGCTTACTTCTGCTATTGTGGAAGTTGGCACGAAACTATGTTTTGCCATCACCACTAGATAATATACCTGGCCCGGCGCCGCCGTCGACGCTCAAAGGTGCGTGGCCAGATTCTCTGTCCAAAGTTTCTGAGCGCTAACACTGTTTGTCGACGATAGGTAATATTGTCCAGTTACAGAACCGCGGTGCTTGGCAATACTTGGACAGTCTCACAAACAACTACGGACAGGTCGTGAAGTGCACCGGCCTCCTCGGGGTGAGCGATCCTCTTGATTGTGTAATGAAGAACGTCAACAATGTGATGCTCATGCCCGCCCTTCAGAGACGCGTACTATGGGTCTTTGATCCGAAGGCTTTGCATCATGTTGTTGTCAAAGATCAAGACGTCTATGAGGAGGCGCCATCATCTCTTACGTTCGTAGTTGCTCATTTGCAGTATGTTCCTTCGGCATTAACATTTCTAGCTCACAGCATACGCAGACTGACCACTGGCCCTGGCCTGCTGTCGACGCTTGGTATGTGGGAAGACTATCCAGTGGCTGCGCTGAGCTGATCACTTTTCGCTCAGGCGAGCACCATCGTCGGCAACGCAAGCTACTGAATCCCGTATTCTCCATCGCACATATGCGCAGATTGACGCCGCTATTTTACGAAGTGGTAAATCGCGTACGTCATCTATATCCCATATTGAAGACAAAGTTCAATACATGACTGTATTCTGGCAGCTTCGCACAGGTATTCAGACAGAGCTTGGTGCTTCTCCAGCCGGAGAGGTGGACGTTCTTAACTGGATGGGCCGCACGGCGCTGGAGCTCATTGGCCAAGGCGGCTTCGGCCATTCGTTCGATCCGCTGGTCGAGAACGTCGAGAACGATTACGCGAACGCCATCAAAAGTTTTGTGTGCGTCCATCTTCGCGACGTCTTTTCTGAGCATGCTCAACTGTCCCTACAGCCCGACGTCGTCCAGCCTCGCTTCAAGCTTCCGCATGCTGACACCGCTCATCATATTTCTCATGGGCCTCTCCCAACGCCGCCCTGCCATCGGGACATTTATCAAGAGATGTTTCCATCTCGTGCCACACGCTGGCATGCAGCACATGAAGTACATTCTAGATGTCTTGGATAGCACTTCCCGGAAGATTGTCAGGGAGAAGGGGATCGCACTCGAAAGCAACGACGCGGAGCTGAAGATGCGGATTTTGGAGGGCCGTGACTTGATGAGTGTCATGCGTACGTGCGAGTACGAAGCTGAGCTCTGGCGCTGACCTGGTGGCTTGTCGGCAGTGCGGGAGAACATGAATGCGGACGCTGCGGACAGGCTTCCGGACGAAGAGATCATTGCGCAGGTCACGTACGTCTTCTACACAACTCTGTCCGGATCGTAAACGCTAATTGTGGATTTGTGGTTCGGATGTAGGACATTCACGTTCGCTGGTACGGACACCACCTCGAACGCGATTGCGCGGATTCTGCACCTGCTGTGCCTCCACCCCGACGTGCAGGAACGGCTACGCGCAGAGCTGATCGAAGCTCGCTCCCAGAACGGTGGCCAGGACTTCGAGTACGACGAGCTCGTGAGCTTGCCCTACCTGGACGCCGTCTGCAGAGAAACTCTGCGCCTGTGAGTTGCCGCGTTGATGGCGAGCGGCGGTCAGTACTGACGTGAGCAGCTACCCCCCGGTTACGTTTACCTCCCGCGAGTACGTGCGCTTCCCATTGCATGACCCTCTGGCTAATCATGATCCAGGAACGTGCGCGACGTCGTTATGCCGCTCAGCACGCCACTCACCTTGCGCGATGGCACGTCGACAACCTTCATCCATGTCCCGAAGGGCACCTCAATCCTCATCGGTATATACTCATCGAACCGCAACAAGGAGGTCTGGGGCGACGACGCGTGCGAGTGGAAGCCCGAGCGGTGGCTCGACGGCAAGCTCCCCGAGTCGGTGGCAGACGCGAAGATCCCCGGGGTATACTCTAACCTGTTAGTTTCGTTTATCTCGTGAAAATAAGACGCACCTGCTGACCGGTCCATAGGATGACGTTTATCGGCGGCGGCCGGGCATGCATGTACGTTTCAACTCTCCCTCGCACGAAGCCTTTTCTGAGCCCACTGTCCCATCTCCAGCGGCTTCAAGTTCTCGCAGCTCGAAATGAGTACGTACACCCGCACCCGTTCACGCTCACCCGCTGACGCGCCCCATGGCCAGAGGTCGTGCTGGCGATGCTGGTCGCATCCTTCCGGCTATCGCTCTGCGCGGGCAAGAACGGCGATATATTTTGGAACCGCGCAGGTATCGCGTATCCGACCGTGGGCCCGGACGGCAAGAAAGCGAGCCTGCCCCTGAAGGTCGAGCTGCTAGAGACGTAGCTGGCGCGCAGAATTCTTGCGTGTCTTTGAGGCCGAAGTTTTAGTTCTTACTCCGTAAGTGTCGAGGCTTGGTGTGTGTGCACTACTATCAATTCCATGCTGTTACATCTCGCGTTGCGGAAACATGCACAAGCTGAAAGCGGTCACTTCTGAAGCGAGCCCGCTCAGCGCCTCGCAGCGGCTGATATACCCTCTCTACGCCGCGGTCGCAGGCGTGCCTTTCTGTTTTCTATTACCCCAGCCACTTATCCACGTTTCTGTGTGCTTCCACCATTCCTTCAACAGACGATTCTTCCCTGCAGAATGACGAGCTTCTTGCCTAGAGCCATCTTATTCTCGTTTGTTTCTCCCATTTCTTATCGTCGTTATCCCCAACACTGCTGTTTTCCTTCTTGTCGCTGTCATTGTCACCATTGTCGTCTTCATCAGTAATGGTCGCTGACTAGGTTGTGCGTGAGCCTACTCCCGTGTCCCCCGTTGGACTGTCGTGGCTACTACGACCGTAAACGTAACGGTGAGCAGCAATCATTACGTCATCGCGGCACTGGCAAAGTCCCGATATTGAGTACCGATGGACGATCTCCACAAGCTTCATTACCTTCCATGCATCGTATGGCTTCCCTGCTTCAAGCTTATTCTTCAGCATCCTTGGTGTGCACAAGTATCAGCCCTGCGGCATTCATAATATCTGGTGACCCAGGCGCCGCTACCGTGCATCGCCTATGCATCGTTTCATCAGCTTAACTCTGGCGTTTCTCTCAGGGGAACATGCCTGCGAAGAATGCTGTGGGCTCCACCGGCATGTGGGCTGGTACAATTCTCGTAGCATACCCCTGCCTAACTCCTGAAAACTGTCACAGTGCGTAAACACCTGACATTGCATACCATTGATCTCGCAAACGTCGTAGCCGCGATCTATGTCACCGCCAATTTTGCATGGAATGAAACGTCAAGGACATGGGGGACTCTGTGAGTATATAAACCTCACTTCTGCAGCTACACCTTCATCGTCTCCGACAACGTTTTCCTCCTAAACAACCACGACCGCACCGACGATGGCTCAGACCACTGCTTCTTCTTTTCCTTCTGCTGCTGGGGACCCCGTCAACCATTATGCACAGAACGTGATCAAAAATTTTCATCGAGAACTCGAAACTCCTTCGGCAGCCCCCCAGCAGTCTGAAGCGAGGCCTCGCACCCTCTCATTCGATGCTGACAAGTACCTCCGCCCCGCAGAACAGCCCATCATACCGGTCCCTTCCAGTAACTTGGCCGAGCAAGTGGGTATCATCGGGGGTGGAATCGGCGGCCTCTATGCTGCGTTACTGCTTCGCGACGCTGGGATCCCTTCCGACATCTACGAAGCCAGCGACCGTCTTGGTGGGCGTTTGTTCACGTATAAGTTCCCCCAGTCGCGTGAATACGACTATTTCGTGGGTTTCCTTCCGATGCTACGCTGCCCAGCTGACTATTCTCCACCTGCGTCAGGACGTCGGTGCGATGCGATTTCCCGACACGCCCGCCATGAAGCCGGTCTTCGACCTCTTCAAGCGGCTTGACGTGAAGACGCTCAAGTACTACTTTAAGGACAAACTTGGCAACTCGACGCTCTTCTACAACGATATCGTCAAGAAGAGAACCGACGAATCGAAGATTGTGCCGAAGGACTTCAACATCACCGGCTTGCCCGACAAGTGGGGAAGCCTTGGGGTGGAGGCCAACATGTCGAACGTCATCAAACCCTTCAAGGACGGGCTCATCAAGGACGCGAAGGAACATTCCGAGAAGGGATGGGAGCTCATGATGGAATACGACCGATACTCGACCAGGGGATACATGTCCGATCGCCGCAGCGACTATCGGCCGGACCTGGACGAGAAAAAGCTCATGCCTTACCCTGTCAGCATTGTAGAGTGGTGCGAGACGTTCGATGGCTCGTCGACGTCGTTCGATAGGGCCCTCACGGAGAGTGTCCTCGACAGTCTAGCATTTGCATACGACGACCAGCCTATCGATTGGCACTGCATCGAGTACGTCCATGATCGTTTCCCCCGTCCTTGCTCTGACACATTTTCTCGACAGTGGCGGATCCAGTAGGCTGGCTGACAAGCTGGCAGAGTATTTGGAGAGTCCCGGCGGGCCATGGCATAGGGTATACCGGAACAACTCCGTCACAGGCATCAGATACCACAAGGGGTTGAACATCGTCGGCGTCGCCAATGGCCGAGGTACAACTTATTACACTCACGTCATCACCACCACCACTCTTCCCTGCCTGCGCGCCATGGACCTGTCAGAGGCCGGGCTGGACTACCCACAGAAGAACGCGCTGCGGGCGCTGTACTACAGCTCGGCGACCAAGATCGGGGTCAAGTTCAAGACCGCGTGGTGGCAGGACGACGCAGTGATGAAGAAGTATGGCGGCTTCGGGGCCATCGTTGGCGGTCAGTCGTACACCGACAACATGTCTCGCATGATCGTCTATCCGTCATACTCCGCCGGGTCCCAGACGCCTTCGACCGTGCTTATCGCTAGTTACGCCTGGACCGGGGATGCTCTGGCCTGGACGGGACTCATGCAGTCTGAGGACCGTATGAGGCGTAGGCTGCTCGACGATCTCGCCGAAGTGCACCGCTTCAACGCAAACGGACGGAAATTCCTGGAGGACCAGGTCGAGTCGATCTATCCGTACAGCTGGAACAACGATCCGAACACCATGGGTGCGTGTTGCGGTAAAACTACTGACACAGTGCTGACTGCTTGGATGTATTCAGGTTCTTACGCGTTCTTTGGTCCCGGAGACTTCTCTGACTTGTACCCGCACCTCACTCGTCCAGCCGCCAAAGGCAGGCTTCACTTCGCTGGAGAGGTTGCGAGCGCACGCCATGCGTAAGTTTTCCACATTTTTACCAAAGCTGTCCCTGCTCAACCTCCTGGCGCAGATGGGTAGTTGGCGCCCTCGAGGCGTCCAAGCTTGCTGTTCATCGCATCATCAGTTCCAGCTACCCAGAGAAGCTCGAAGAGTTCGAGAAGAAGTGGGGACTGCCGGAAGCGTGGACACGAGAGTCGATTATGAAGCAAGTTGCTGTTACGCTGGAGGGTGTGTATGCGGACACTCCCTTGCAGGGTGAACAGTAGGCTGTGCGGGTGGCTGTAATAAGTTGTACATCGAAATATCTGGTGCAGATTTTATACAAGCGGCGGCACCTCATTCTATGCAGTTGACTTCATTGACAACGACGCAGTGCCAGTGCTTGACTACACTGTCATACAAATCATGCTGGTGCCCGTTTCGAGTCTGCTAAAGCCCAAGTGGAACCGTTGGAGCGAATTTGAATCTCTGAATCTCGATAGGACGGGTCTACGCACAGCTGTAGATGTTTGGTAGTGTTCGAGTCATCATGCAGGGCGACCAATACTGCGCTGCTGTAGGTGCGACGGGAAAAAGGGGCTGCTTTGCTAGCGACCAGATGCACGGAGGAAAGTCTGACGGGACAGAACGCACTTCATAAGAAGGGGTTATGAGTGGTGGCCGACGCCGCGGAGGGCGCGGTGACGGAGGAATTGATCCGCACCCGCGTACGGGACCCCGTGCGCGCTGCACGGGGTCAAACTAAGGGCGCTTGTTGTGAATATCCGTCTTGCGTTGAATCCGCTGTACTGCCGACAGTGCTCCTGGTTTTCTGCACATTTTGTCCTGAATTTACGCTTCCCTTTCACCGACAACACTCCTGCCGCGCGCTGGTGCGACTTAGTGGAAGACTCTTGCATAGCGAGTCGGGAATAATCAGTCTCACCGCGCGACGCCCACAATACCCTTGTGTGCTCCTCCGAAATCTATGCTGTCTCACAGAGCTCTCTGCAAAGCCTATTAATATTGTCGTATCCGTCCGACGCTGCCGAAACGTTCAGGTCCCAGGTGTATTGTGATCTGACACGAAGCCCGCCTGCACACTTGGCCGCCATAGTATGCTCAGGGTGGTCGTGTTCTGCCGCATAATATGGTGGGGAGGAGACTATGAACGAACTAGTAGCTGCGAAAGGCTGGCGTGTTCCCAAGGTGCGTCCCATTGCAATTGTCGACTAGTTTACAAGTATTAAACCCGCAAACGCAGGTCGCTGTCCGTAATCACTCTATCCGACAGGCAAAATACGAATAAACGCACTGGCACCGCTTGGCTTGAACGGTGCATCAGGCGGGTGTCCTATCTCCTGCACGCAAAGCGTCGCTCAGACCAACAGCAGCAGTTTTCCCAAACGCGTCCTCCTATTCCTCATCGCCGCCGCTTCCAACACCGCCGCTCTCCACCCTGCTGCCATAGCCGCCGTCTTCTCTGTCTCCAGGGTTCGTGGTGCGGTACGTCAGCTAGTCGTACCTCGTGCCTGGTTATCACAAGACACATCTCCTCGCACATCCCATGAAACTTGACATCTGCAGCTGGCTTGTCCACATGCTCCCGGTGCCTCTGTTGCGTTTAGTCCATACATTTCTCCGTCACCGCTTGGAGCACGTAATACACATTCGCATTATATGCCGACACGAATTGCATTCTATTCGTCACGTTCCCAGCATACCTGTAATTACGCTGAGCCGAGCAGGTGTCGCTGACCTGGGTGAAAGTCAGCCTTCGTAGTGGTGGTGACTATCCGCACGGCATGTACGACGATGCTCTCGACGTCGTCATCGCTCGCAACGACAATTTCGGCATCTGTGGTTAGAGGCGCAGCACTTAGCGTCATAAATATCAACCAACAGACACACCTGCCTCCAGCTGCAGTATGTAGTCCAGAAGAACGTGCAGCGGATCAGAAACTTCGCCCACGTTCATTCTCGTCTCCACTCGTCGCATGAAATACAACAAATTCGCACCGTACGCCAGCAAACACCATATCGCATCTATGCTATCTCAATCGCAATACATCCTGAATATTATGCAGAAGTGAAAGTCCGTCCGAGAAACGAACCACAAAGTTTTGACCCCCGAACGAAAACCAAGGCCCTTCGTTGCGGTCACCTTCCAGGCTGAGCGCCTCGAACTTCGCAAGGAATGCTCCAGACTTCGTATCGCGCACTTGAAGATCCCCTGTGCTATATGCAAAGGCAGCACGTTCTCCGTATGTGGAGTATGACGCATAGCACAACACCTCCGAGAGCTTGTAGACGCGAAGTAGCTCGCCTGTCCGTGAGTCGAAGGTTACTGCCGAATTATCTGCGTCACGAGCTGCCAATATTTCGGTGCCGTCTGGGGAGAATGCCACAGGATACGAGAGTTTTTCCGGGTGGTCGATTGTGAGAAGCTCCTCGCCATTCAACGCGCTCCAAATCTTCACTTGATCGTTCATCGATGCAGTGACTATACGGTCCCCTTGGCGAGATAATGACGACTCGCAGCCTCCGTCTTCATGTTGCAACTCAGCAACGTGCGTATAATTTTGAGTTTCGAAGATGAAGCAGGAGTTAATGTCGATGTAGAGATGTGAACCACTTGGGGAGAAAGAGATCTGGAGTGGATACCCCTTGATGTCGAGGGAATGAAGACATGCTCCAGTCAAGGCGTCCCAAATCTTCGCGAACGGGGCGACTGGGGAAGCGGTGGCAATGAGCACGCCATGAGGAGCATATGCAGCCCTCTTAACCGGCCCATGATGTCCTTCTAGACGCAGAAGTGCGCGACCATGTCGAATATCCCAGACGATCGCAGTTGCATCGTCAGATCCCGAGACAAGGGAGCGATCGTCGGGGGAAAATGCGATGGAGCGAACAGGTCCTGTATGGCCCTGATGATGCAGGCGTTGAGCGAGGAGGCCATCGGAAATTCGCCATACGAGGACATCACCACTTCCAAAAGATGCGGCCAGAAGCTTGTCGTCTGTTGACAGCGAGAAGCATTTGCAGGATGCGGATGGATCTCGAGAGTCAGCGAAGATGAGCTGTTTCAGTTTCATTGGTCGAACCTCCGTCTCCGAGGAGCCAATGAAGACATAACGATCGCCCGGGCGACCGCTGCCGTCCAAGGCGATGCCCGGCCATTCAGCCAAATCGGTAGGCGTGATGGTGGGGCATGCGAGAGCACGTTCTCGTTCATGAGCGATCACATCTTCTACGCAGATCAGCCCAACTATGCAAGTCGCCATTGTTAGATGTCGTCGTTGCTAGTAGATAGGGCACTCACGCGTGCCGTCGATCTGCACCGGAGGTTGAACTTGACGAAGGTAGCTCGCGAAATCGACGACGTGATTGTCACCCTGGACGAAAATTAGTCATCATAGTTGGCATGGGGTTATCTGCACGGCACGTACGACGATGATCTTGATGTCGTCATCGCTTGCAATGACAGTCTCGGCGTCGGTGGTCTGTGGTTAAAAATGCACTACTCAGCGTCAGAAATACCACGGCTTGGGCAGACTCACCTCTAGCATGTAATCCAGAAGGATGTCTAGCGGGTCAGGAATCTCGCCCTGATGACTCAGCTCGCACGCCTCATCGATATATCTTAACGAAAGACATACATTGTCCTGAAAATCCAGCACGCCTGCGTCGCTGAGATCCTCTTCCTCCTGCGCTACGACCCCTTCTCCTCCCGATCTACCTCGCCCATCACCCGCATCCGGAAGGCGATGGTAGCCCGCGCTCGCAACGATCTTCTTGAAAATCCCCAACCGCTTTCGTACTTCGTAACGCTTCACGAACGTACACTGGTCCCTCGTCGGCTCCGCGGGACAGGGGCGAGACGCATCCGGTAGATAGTGCTGACCCTGCCGTTGCATCCGTGGTCCCGTCACAGACTTCGAGTGCGACCCGCCGAGTCCCATACCCGCGACGCCGCCTGCATTTCCCTCGACCGAAACATGAGAGCTCGAGCTGATGTTACTGAATGCTGCTGCAGCCCAATCTGCTTCTGTCTTGACCCAGCCGCGAATCACGACGAGGTTCTCCTGCTTGAGCCGGTGGCCCAGGACGCCCGTGGCATATGTATACCATGTGTCATGGTTTCGGACGATGTACTTCTCTAGGACTTGATTCTCGAACAGCGTTTCCGCATGGGCCTCGCTCTTGAGGGCAAGAACCGCGCCTTGTGTCGATTTGCATTCGTAGGCGGCAGTAAGATTCAAAGATACGTTGGCGCCAGCCATCCTGCAAGCTGTCAGTTGAAAGGCAGTCCTCGGATGTGCTACCCTACTTACACATTTGCCGAAGCGTGCACCTCCTTGCTCTCCATCCCATGGCTGCAGTAACAGTCGGGAACGAGCGGCCGATGTCTGCGATCGATCTTGAGCAAGCCGCGAGGCAAGGGCTCAGTGATCTTGAATGGCGGGTCCCAGAACGTGACTTTCTTTTCGGGAGCGGAGGTGTCGAGGTTGAACAGCCTGATGAATGCGCCTCTGTGGATGAACCCCACGTCGCCGATCTGCGGTTCGCCTGACTCATGTGGCTCCGGGTACCAGAGGGCGTGTCCTTCGTGAAACGTTGCAAGGCTGGAAGAATAGATCTCGTCTGGAGCAGACGGTAGACGATGGAGGCGAAACATTGTGACCAAGGAACAGCGTGCTTTTACCTAGCAGAGAGGGGTGGTGGTGCAGAATCGGCCTGGAATGTGCGGGCGATAACGAGAGCAACGTCGGCGTCATTTGCTTGATGGTTTCGCACGAGGAAGACAAACGCGCACGCTGTGGATAAATACGTCCTTTGTGGCGTATGATCTGCAGCTTGCTTTCGCCAAGCAGGCGGACGTACTCTCACCACCTCGTCACGAAATACCACCAGATTCTGTGGACAAATATCCGCGGCTTGCTCGCAGAAGCGGGTTAACCAAAAACCAAGACCAGCTCAAATTGGTGTACCAACATAACGACGGGCCGCTAGGTATCTTGAGTCTATCAGCAAATGGCATTTAGGAATCGCAGGGAACCTTCCACACTCCATCCTCCAAGCTTAGGGGAAATACGTTCGTCAGTCTGCGTCGTACGCTGAGGCACTCTACGTGTGTCAAAAGCGACAACCCAGGGCTCTTCCCTGCGTATGCCGGGCTAACCGTTGTCGCTGATGCGTGGTGGGCACGATGCCGCTTCTCCGTCCAAAGAAGCCAGATGTCGGCGTTACAGCTAGCGTGGACAGGGAAGGATGCTACGGGCTTGGTGGTGTCCAGCTGCTCGAAATGCTCTCGGCGGTAACAGTGCTAAGGATCTGGTAAAGGTCATCATCTGCTCACGAAGAGAGGTACATCGAAGTCCAAATACAAGCCGGATTTTCTTCGGGGAGAAGATGCTCGCGCTTCGGAAGGGTAAGACTTGCCGTCTACAGAATCGGCAAAGACGTATTCGGCGTTTAAGCTCGCGAAATCGTGACACTACGGGCATGAGCTGGTTTCAGATCACCTGAAATGTCCTGGTCAAGCCATCAAAACTGTTTCATTTTCGAAGACTTAACCGGGGCTTTCTGGTGTCCCAAAATGATAGATTTGCTACCACTTTCGTAGCCATTTGTGATGCAGGAATATGATAAATTTTGTGTAGCCTGAAATGAACCTGAAATGACTCAATATGGCTACATTTCAGTACAGCAAAGAGTTCATGTTTCAGGAGACTTTGTGGCGCATTTCAGGACATCTGAAAGAACATATGTAGAAATCATTTCCGCCTCATGTTTGCAATGAGGAAAGGTCCGGGCAAGGAAAACTTTTGATGGTCCTGAAATTGCCATTTCTGATGGATTTTGAAGCTATTTTATGAGCTAGAATATTTTTACCTGAGCAAAGTCAGAAACGTCCTAGAAATGTACTATAAATTTGCCGTAAATGATAATTTTAGAACCATTAAAAGTTTTCCTTGCCCGGACCTTTCCTCATTGCAAACATG